AGAAGAGGAAAGCTGTCGTTACCGACATGCTATGTTACCAAGTAACGGAAAACTTTTCCTCTACCGGTTAACAAGAAACCGTAACTTCCCTTATCTGGTTCAAAACAAACAGCTCTTTCGTTCATATGAACTGAACTTTTGAGCTGGAGCTGTTCTACCCCTAGAGCGAACTAGTGCTTACAAACAGGATTCATTGACAGGGATTCTTGTGCAAAAGATTCAGCTTAGGTACTTTTCATCTGGTAGCGGGCCATTTTGCGTCTGCTTTAGTTAGATAGCTAGACAGCTAGATAGGTAGGTAGTTGCAATGAACAACATGATAAGAAGAATGAAGAAGGTGATTATGTCATACGAAACCACGAGAAGCGGCGCATAACTTCGAGTTAACTTGGAACCTCATATAGAACCTTCATAATGAGAAGGTGCCGTACATATTCTCCACTGCAAAATCTTCTTGTTCACTGACTAACATAAGATTTCACGTGAAACCATATCTACGCATAACCAAAAACGTTATAATTTAGTATTTGTGTCGAAACCTCAAAAGGTTCTGCGTAGCATCTTCTTTTTAGAGAGTACAATAATCATTTAGCTGTCAGACGAGGAATGAATGGTTCCAGACAATCTAGTCCTTAGGACTTCCCGCACGGTACATAGAAGACGCCGATTCGAATCCCGCTAAGAAGAGCCGGTAGCTGTACCTTATCAATGTCGGACCTTCGCTTTCACGCATAGAATGAACGAAAAAATCTCTTTATGATTGAGCACGTGCTTTCTGTCGTTGTTCTTGCTACCCATAAACACAAATTATACCAAAATAATTTTGATGTACAATATAGTCACTTTCCAGAGTTGATAAAAAAACTACTCAACGTACATCTGAAAGAAATTGCTTATCTATACACAATAAATAATTAATTCTTGGGAAATTTCACTAATTAATCAGGCACAGAAATAGAATGTAAATTGATTGTTTAGGGGATTAAAGGTGATATGGATCATTTTTCAAGAAACTATTTTTAATAGTTAATATCTCAACAAGAAGATGTTTAAAAATTCAGAAACTTCGGTTTTCTACGTTCTCGAAGTGGTCAATTGAATCGATGGATTGAAATCGTAATTTAAGTTTTAATCATGATATGCTTCTCTGAGAGAATGCCCTGTTATCTCCCGCGCTCTCTCCTAATCAATTGGATGGATTATTTCTTTAGAAGGGATGAGAAGCAAAGCTTCTCTCATCGTATTGTTCATCTCATGAACTACAGCTAATCGAGTTGTAAAACTCAAGGGTCTTAATATAATAACACCGAATAGATTATCATTTACAGGCGCAATACTGAAGGTCGGTATCATTGAAATACCCCCGTTTGTCATCGTCACAAACACCAGCAACACCAGCAATGTTCCCTCAAACGCTATTTTCACCGTGGATCATCATCATATGTTAACAGGCATTCTTCCTGAGCTCATTCTCCTTCTCCAGGAAAAGATGGGCTTCGAGCCTCGCTTATATCTTGTTTCTTCCGAGATGGGCTACAACGGACTCGTGAAAGGTGTCCGGGATGGTTTATATGACATCGGTGTTGCCGACTTGACCATCTTGTCGACTCGCCTTCCCATGGTAGACTTCTCGACTCCGTTTCACGACACCAGTATCCGAGTTGTTGTCCGCCACAGTGTCACGCCATCAGCATTGGATCTGCTCTCGTACTTGCGTCCTTTCTCTTGGTCCGTCTGGCTAACGATCTTGGCTGTCGTGCTCTACTCAGGCATGCTCATTTGGATGTTTGAGCGAAAAAACAATGCCACTTTGGAATCCGGACCGTGGTACAGAGCTTTTGGAATGAGCGTCTACCGCGTGCTGAGTAGCTCCGTATGGATTGGCCGTGACTCCCCCGCTGCTTCCGTTACTGTAGCTACTCGCATGCTCGCCGTTGCACTGTCCATGCTCTACTTCGTTCTCCTGGCTACTTATACCGCCAACCTCTCAGCATTCCTCACCCTTAAATGGAGTCAGCCGTCTATATCTGGTATCGACGATATAAAAAATGGGCGTGTGTCTTACAGCAAGATTGGCATCGTGCGCAACTCATCTTACGAAGACTTCTACGTTCAAAATATCTCTTCTCAGTACTATCCCGTTCATTCTCTATACGAACTCTTTGACCTTCTTTTGGACAAGACGATTGATGCTGGATTGTATGACTCCACGCCGCTAGAGTATGGCATCAGTCGGTATCATTGCGGAAAGCTCGCAGCCGTTGGACTTGGTTTTAATCGTTCGCCCTACGGCATTGCCATGCCTAAGAACTGGCAGAATAAGACGGAGTTGGATACACTTTTGCTGTCATTTTACGAAACAGGCAAGATCGCTGGTCTAGAGAACAAGTGGCTTCAACGCGGAACGTGCAAAGATGGAAGAATCAAGGCGGATGACGATAGTGCAGCCATCAATATAGAGGTGCTTGCAGGGCTCTTTGTCACATTTCTCATTATTAGTCTAGCGGCCATTGGGATACACGTTCTGTATCGATGTTATTTGAGAGAGGTTCAAGAAGATCGGCTCTCATCCATTCCAAAAAACCGGAATTAGTTGGAATTGGAACCGGTTGAAACTTTTTTCAATTATAAAATAAAAAGGTATTCAAAATATTTTTGTTTCTTCGATTAAAAAAAACTGAATGAAAAAAAAGACACCTCAAAGCCTATTCTTCCATGCTATTTGTATCATAGTCTCATTTTGGGTAGTAGTGTAGAAGTCATAAAGTTGATTCAACTATTAAGCTTTCAACTATTAAACTAGGGTGTGGGTATGGGCGTATAAAAGCAATAATTACTCACACGCACACCCACACCCTCAATTAATGCATTGATTTTGTCCTTCTGTCAAAAACTTTGATTTCCTTTCTATGTTTTTTCCAACTGAATAGACATTGTAGTATCGCGTATCTGATGTGTGTAATGGTAAATGATTTTTTCCAATATCTTCACTTGTAACTATTGATCCATTTTATTAATATTTTCGAATAGTTTTAGTTCATGTGCTGAGTGTTCGCAAAAACTTCAGTGTTTATTATTTCACCGTGTATAGACAAAGTATTTATTACTTCTAATATCGTCGATGAATTAGGAGTTTATTAATCGATAACAACAAATGACTCAAACATACTTCTAATGCTTTTCGCTACGAAAATTTTTGAAAAAACCTCGTTCATAGGAGCCCGTAACGCTGTCACGAAATTTTGACACAAAGATCTTGACACATTCTGAGGGCACTTCTTAAAGTGAAGGTGCCAAGAAATTCCATATCTACTGTACCTCCTGTATCACTCTAGTAGCAGCTCTAGCAACCTTAAGAAAATTCAGAAAAAGCATCTCATTAGTTATTTGCAATCGAAATCGTCTACAAGTAGCTTCTACATCACATTGTTCAATGATTTTTTCTCTTATTGAGCATTGATAGGTGTCGATCTTAAACTATCAAAGATTTGAAACTCAATGAAGACCATCGCATATGGCAAGGACTTCCCATCGCTCTATCATTCAGTGAATACCTGTTGTTTCCTCCTCATTATTGAGAGTGAGCATCGTCTCAAACAACGTAGGCCAACATGAAAATTCGACTAGAAATCTATTTGAACCCGAGCTTAGTCGATTGACTATTTAAAAAATAACTGGTATTATGGAATCTAGAATCATCGAAAACGGCATCACCAAATATGCTCATGCAAAATGTTACTTGTATTCGACATCAATGGTATTTGCTTCTCTTTCATCTTATAACCGAAAAAGTCGCTCAGATGCTGACGTTCAATTAAATATGTATGTTGTAAATTTGTCTCTATCAAGAAAAGATGCACTAAAATGTGCTCCATAAAATGAATATTGATTGACCCCGCTATTTCGTGTAGTAAGAAAGCTACACATATAACTTAAGCAAAACAAACGGCTTGTTTGAACGCGTTTTTTGTTTCTTGTTAAGTAAATTATCAGAAACATGGCTGTCGATTTTAGACGTTTTTTTTGAAATGTCAATCTTGAATACACAATCTTCTCTAAAAAGAAATTTATGAATCACGAGAAAGAGTACACTTGAATCAAAGCTGCCAACAGGCCACTTTTTTTCAGCCTGGCCTGACCCGCAGGCCAACCCAGGCGAACTAATGTTTCAGACTTTTTATTATTATGAAATTTACAAATTAGCATTAATCCATTGTATACATTTCAATTTGTGATCCGACTTGTTTTCATGAGAGCAAAAGAATATAGTATGCCAATTATCAACGAAGAGCATTCAGAATCAAATTCAGAGTTTCGTTTAATGNTTCGGATTTTGTGAAATTACACTATTATCCAAAAATATGAATTTACCTGTTGCAAAATACATATCGTTTTCAGAACTGGCACCAATAGCAGATTGAAAGAAATTATCAGCTATCGCATATGAGCGTGCCCATGAATAATAACCTTCTGCACTTGTGTTATCGGATATAGATGATTGGATTGCGTTTTGGCAAATAGACTCATCTCCAAGTACCGATCAAAATTTTGTATCTGATGCTTGGGCTTATACATACGCTGGGAGAGTTGCAAAAAATAAACACCCAACAGCTTCAGGACAGGTATCTATACAGGTTCCTTCATTATATGGAACATACACTGTTTATTATTGCAAAAATGGCGGATATACCTGTCCAAGCTCCATTACTGTCAAGGTCGTCAATCCGAATATATGCAACCCAAATGCTCCAAGAACATCAACAGTTGAACACATCATAATTATTATTTCTGAAAATCATTCTTTTGATAGTATATATGGAAGATATTGTCAAGCCACTACAGGTTCAAAACCAACTTGTAACTTCGGTCCATCTTGTTGCGAAGCAGCCCCAAGTAGTGTAAGTGGATCATCTCCCATAACTTTAACCGATCAACAAAATGTTTTATACGGTCCCAATAATAGAGCCTCTTGCCAAATATGTGAAATAGATAACGGTTTAATGGATCGATATGTTACTGGGTGTTCTTGCTCAAACTCATCCAATTTTGCTATTGCCGATAACACAAGTGCAGAAGGTTATTATTCATGGGCACGCTCATATGCGATAGCTGATAATTTCTTTCAATCTGCTATTGGTGCCAGTTCTGAAAACGATATGTATTTTGCAACAGGTAAATTCATATTTTTGGATAATAGTGTAATTTCACAAAATCCGAATCTGAATGGTGCACGTTGTTATACCAAAAATTTCAAAAGTTATTACAGTACAACGATCGCAGACTTATTGAATTACTGTGGCATCCACTGGACATTCTATGCCGAAGGGTATGATCAAAATCCAAACAGTACTCAATGCTATCCAAATTATTACGATGCAACTGATAATCCATTTACGTATTTTCCAAGTTTGATAAATTCTTCAGAACGTTATTCCCAAAATTTTAGAGATTATACTAGTTTGTATTCTGATATTAGAGCTAGAAAACTGCCAGCTGTTAGTTATGTCAAAGGATTAGGTATTCATAGTGAACATCCCGGTTATGGTACAATAACAGCCGGTGAAACAATCTCACAAGATGTCATTAATGCTATAAAAGAATCGAATACATACGGAGAAAATACTGTTATATTTTTGCTTCCAGATGAAAGTGGTGGCTTCTATGATCATGTATCTCCACCACCACAAAGTACAATTGATAATCAACCATATGGTCCTAGGATACCATTTGTCGCTATCGGACATCAAATTAAAAAAAATTATATTTCACACGTTCAGATGGAACCGTCAAGTTTAATTAAATTTATTGAATGGAACTGGCTTAATGGTCGAACTGGTCAATTAGGAACTCGTGATACAGTTGTTAATAACATTGGCGACATGTTCGATCATAAAAAAACCGGTGTTAAGATCCCTTCACACTAATTAATTTCCTTCAGCAGCTACTCAGTGTGTCTCATTTTGCTAGTTATAAAAACTTCGCCACCTCTACTTAAGCCTCTCACATTTATTGCATGTTTAGTTAGTTTTCTCAAAAAGAGTAATAAATTTAGTACCCAATCACAGTAGCCAAATAAATATCGTGTCTGGATGTGGGCATGAGTGTGAGTAAGCAAGACCACGACATGTATTTCTGTCTCGCTACAGACTTCATCAGGTGGGTACGTAAAATTTTCAGAATCCCACGATTGATCTCGTTCTTTCTCAGCGAGTTCACCAGGTGGCTTTAAATGCCGGGCATTCAGTTCAAAAAAAGTTCCACGTTGATAAGTTTGTAAAGTTGAAAAAGCTATATTCAAATGTATGACTGTGAAGTATTACGGCCTGGACGAAATTGTAGTTAGATCTATAATACTACCAACGTCGTTCAAACAGGTATTAAATCGACGAAAAGCAAAACCGTTCCACCAAATAAAACCAATTAAATTTATGTGTGTGCGTAAAGATGAAATATGTTTTTTGGGTGTCGACTCTCCACGTCTACACGAAACAATCTGTTGTGTACTTCTTAAACTAACATACCATTCATCTTCAAAAATATAATTATCGATAACGATCACGATAATGCAATAGAGCAAATTGATAACGCTTTTGTTCATTGATATTATTGTTTTTGACTTTAACGATAGACTTGCGAGGACGATAACCAAGAGATAGTCGATAACGTTGTATCGCGCGTTCGGTAGTATTGAAGTTCGTGATTGATAATAATTCAGCGGCAGTAGCCGATCGATATTTTTGTATGGCTCGATCAAGTTGTTTGATTTGTTTTGAACCGAATGCAGGTAAACGACCAACATCATGTCCATAGTTTACATTATGATGGCAACGATAACAATTAATAACACGATATATTGTAGAAATGTGACAGTTAAGAAAACGTGCTATTTGTGAGACACTTTTCGAGCCTTTTTCCGACTCATTAACGATATATCAGCGTTGTTCTTCATTAAGGGTAAACATTTTCAAAAAAATCCTCGAGCAACAAAATAAGAATAAAAAACAGAAGAAATGAAAATAAATATAAAGTAATTGACCATTGAATATTCTACTTTTACACACATACGAAGGACTCAGAAAGTATATGCACAGTTTGTATCTTCATATTAACTTTTTCTGTACATTATAAACTTCTCCACGTGTGCTATCTATGCATATCCAAGAAAACTTCTCTTGATCATATTTTTGATGTTTTAGATCAAAAATACCATTCGCAGTGATTTTGTCGTTGGTAGATAGATAGCAAAACAAGTCGCTCCTCGATGGATCATTCATATCGACAACACGATGATCGCATTATTAGGCATATAGAAGCCTTCAAATCTGCCCAGCACAAAGGAGAAGAAAAGTCTTTGAGATCTGTCTAAACGAGATATGTGTCCTCTTATACAGAAATTAGACGTTTCAAGTTTCGTGTTTTCCAATTTATCGAATTCTCCACGATATCTGACCTTTGAGAATGTTGATGCGCTTCAGTGAAAAGAATATTGATATATCATCCTCATAAGCTCCAATACTCTGGTGTAAAAATATCTGACTGATTGGGTTCCCTTTGATCATTTCACTATAACGACGGATTGTTGATATCAGATAATGTGTGGACGATTCTATTATCTCTCTGTCACTGAAACAGATGCCTAACAACATCGTAGACATCGAAACTATGCAGTTTTTATCTTTTGACATGACAAAGAGTAGCATATTCTGT